CGGCCTCAGCTTGGCAGAGCCTCCCATCTGCGGGGCCCCTGGGGGCCACAGCCTCTCAGAGAGGACATTAACAGGCAGAGAGGAGGGCACAGGGAGAATCATTCCCCCGAAAGCTGAACACTGTTATCTGCTGGCTTTTATTAAATGTGATGAACTGCAGAAGGGAACAATGGAGAGTCCTTTGTTTCTTTCTAAAACGTTCACAAATCAAAGTGCACAAAAGATGTAAGAATGGAAAATCTAAATCATTTGTTCTCTCTACTGTCTGCTTGCAGTTTCTTATACGATACGTTACGATATGTCAAGATACAAGATGATACAGTACGGTAATCTGAAGCATATACAGTTTAAAGTGATGCATATATACAGCATACTGTACAGTATACTGTATGCTGCTGTTTGTAAAGCAGCAGGAGGATACAGTATATATACAGTACAGTATACAGTATACAGTAGAGTATACAGTATATAGTAGATATACAGTACAGTATACAGTATAATCTATACAGTATACAGTATATAGTAGATATACAGTACAGTATACAGTATAATCTATACAGTATACAGTATATAGTAGATATACAGTACAGTATACAGTATATAGTATATATACAGTACAGTATACAGTAGAGTATACAGTATATAGTATATATACAGTACAGTATACAGTAGAGTATACAGTATATAGTATATATACAGTACAGTATACAGTATACAGTAGAGTATACAGTATATAGTATATATACAGTACAGTATACAGTAGAGTATACAGTATATAGTATATATACAGTACAGTATACAGTAGAGTATACAGTATATAGTATATATACAGTACAGTATACAGTATACAGTAGAGTATACAGTATATAGTATATATACAGTACAGTATATATATAATACAGTATGCTGCTGTTTGTTAAGCAGCAGGATACAGTCAGATTTGTGTAAAGTTATAATCCAGCGTCACTGAGGTGAGGCTTATTGCTGCATTGCATCATGGGAGCTAAAGTGGGAGGAAGTTCATCAGATAAGCCTCTTAACATCTACTTTATTTTCAGAGCACAAACACAATATTCGGTCAGTAAACCAGAGAGTCTCGGGGGGGGGGAATCAGAATCATTCAGAGGACGAGATTCATTGTTCTGAAACACTTCATGAATCTCATGAAATACAATGTGTGGTTTCTGATTGGATGATATCGCTGGAAGAAGAACTCAAGTCTCGTATTTCAGTAAGTAGCAAAAAGAAGCTGCTTTCATAATCGAACTGAGGTCAATATACTCCTTTGTTTACTCCCACAACATAGTGACATCACTACGGAACACTCGCGCTCCTCCTCCTCCTCCATCGTGATTGGCTACCTGATGTTGAGGGCGGGGCTTAGGTTTGATGTCGCGTACAGCCAGGTGGAGCTCGCCAGGCTTTTACCAGCAACTTCAGACCTACGAACCATAGACATGCATTGTTTCTGTCCACTAGAGGGCAGCAGAGTCAAGCTGTAACACACAGGACTCCTTTGTTTACTTCCGGAACATAGTGACATCACTGTGGAACACTCACGCTCCTATTGGCTAGCGGTCCAACACATTTTTGGAGAAATGTAACAAATAAAGATGCTTTAAAGACGACATGAACTGTCCACTTGAGATCCAGGGAGTTACCGTTTACAAACCAAGGAGAAATGAGAACTATGACAAACATGGATTCCTTCTGTTTCTTTATTGTGATCACGACCACAGAAAAGATATCTAAATATCTTGATCTGAATGTTAAGCAGCAGAATGAATGTGTGTGTGAGTAAAGTGAAAGGAGAACACGAGCGTATGTAATCAAAGCGACACGAGACACACATCCATTATTCATAACGCTTGTTTTTCAGCTCTGCTTTAATTTAGGTGAGGAAAACATGAATCTCCATAAAGAGGAGCGGGAGGAGAAGTTACAGAGAGAGAGAAGTTCATAACGAGACGAGAGAGGCTCTGCTTCCTGTGTTATTCATGTATTTATTTAAACACGGAGCATGCTACATTCATCTGAGGAAACAGAGGACATGATGTATGCCAGATCTCAGCTGATAGGTTACACAACGATCAACACACACTGAACACACATTGCATCCTCTCTGTCACACAGAGTTACACAGCCAGAGGAAAGTACAGGTCAATACACAGAACATAGTACTGATAACACATAATACTACAATACACTTCAAACTGAAAAACTCTGATTATAATGTTGGCATGACTGTGAGACATTTCCAGAAGAGAAAGATAGAAGAGGACGACATGCAGAGGAACTACGTGATGTTAAAGTTAACTAAATACCACCTTCTATTAGTAGTGGAGTACAAATACTTTGTTAGTGTACTTAAGTACATGTTTCTGGTATCAGTACTTTACTCCACTACTTATTTTTCTGACCACTTTTTACTTTCTACTTCTTACATGTTGAACCCAAATACCTGTACTTTCTACTTCTTACATGTTGAACCCAAATACCTGTACTTTCTACTTCTCACATGTTGAACACAAATACCTGTACTTTCTACTTCTTACATGTTGAACACAAATACCTGTACTTTCTACTTCTTACATGTTGAACCCAAATACCTGTACTTTCTACTTCTTACATGTTGAACCCAAATACCTGTACTTTCTACTTCTTACATGTTGAACCCAAATACCTGTACTTTCTACTTCTCACATGTTGAACACAAATACCTGTACTTTCTACTTCTTACATGTTGAACACAAATACCTGTACTTTCTACTTCTTACATGTTGAACACAAATACCTGTACTTTCTACTTCTTACATGTTGAACACAAATACCTGTACTTTCTACTTCTTACATGTTGAACACAAATACCTGTACTTTCTACTTCTTACATGTTGAACCCAAATACCTGTACTTTCTACTTCTTACATGTTGAACCCAAATACCTGTACTTTCTACTTCTTACACTTTGAACACAAATACCTGTACTTTCTACTTCTTACATGTTGAACACAAATACCTGTACTTTCTACTTCTTACATGTTGAACACAAATACCTGTACTTTCTACTTCTTACATGTTGAACACAAATACCTGTACTTTCTACTTCTTACATGTTGAACTCAAATACCTGTACTTTCTACTTCTTACATGTTGAACCCAAATACCTGTACTTTCTACTTCTTACATGTTGAACCCAAATACCTGTACTTTCTACTTCTTACATTCTGAACACAAATACCTGTACTTTCTACTTCTTACATGTTGAACACAAATACCTGTACTTTCTACTTCTTACATGTTGAACACAAATACCTGTACTTTCTACTTCTTACATGTTGAACACAAATACCTGTACTTTCTACTTCTTACATTCTGAACACAAATACCTGTACTTTCTACTTCTTACATATTGAACCCAAATACCTGTACTTTCTACTTCTTACATGTTGAACACAACTACCTGTACTTTCTACTTCTTACATGTTGAACACAAATACCTGTACTTTCTACTTCTTACATGTTGAACACAAATACCTGTACTTTCTACTTCTTACATGTTGAACCCAAATACCTGTACTTTCTACTTCTTACATGTTGAACACAAATACCTGTACTTTCTACTTCTTACATGTTGAACACAAATACCTGTACTTTCTACTTCTTACATTCTGAACCCAAATACCTGTACTTTCTACTTCTTACATGTTAAACACAAATACCTGTACTTTCTACTTCTTACATGTTGAACACAAATACCTGTACTTTCTACTTCTTACATTTTGAACTCAAATACCTGTACTTTCTACTTCTTACATGTTGAACACAAATACCTGTACTTTCTACTTCTTACATTTTGAACCCAATACCTGTACTTTCTACTTCTTACATTTGAACACAAATACCTGTACTTTCTACTTCTTACATGTTGAACACAAATACCTGTACTTTCTACTTCTTACATGTTGAACACAAATACCTGTACTTTCTACTTCTTACATGTTGAACACAAATACCTGTACTTTCTACTTCTTACATGTTGAACACAAATACCTGTACTTTCTACTTCTCACATGTTGAACACAAATACCTGTACTTTCTACTTCTTACATTCTGAACACAAATACCTGTACTTTCTACTTCTTACATATTGAACCCAAATACCTGTACTTTCTACTTCTTACATGTTGAACACAACTACCTGTACTTTCTACTTCTTACATGTTGAACACAAATACCTGTACTTTCTACTTCTTACATGTTGAACACAAATACCTGTACTTTCTACTTCTTACATGTTGAACACAAATACCTGTACTTTCTACTTCTTACATGTTGAACACAAATACCTGTACTTTCTACTTCTTACATGTTGAACCCAAATACCTGTACTTTCTACTTCTTACATTCTGAACCCAAATACCTGTACTTTCTACTTCTTACATGTTAAACACAAATACCTGTACTTTCTACTTCTTACATGTTGAACACAAATACCTGTACTTTCTACTTCTTACATGTTGAACCCAAATACCTGTACTTTCTACTTCTTACATGTTGAACACAAATACCTGTACTTTCTACTTCTTACATGTTGAACACAAATACCTGTACTTTCTACTTCTTACATTTTGAACACAAATACCTGTACTTTCTACTTCTTACATGTTGAACACAAATACCTGTACTTTCTACTTCTTACATGTTGAACACAAATACCTGTACTTTCTACTTCTTACATGTTGAACACAAATACCTGTACTTTCTACTTCTTACATTTTGGAGGAGAGAGGAGAGAGGAGAGAGTCTCTCTCCTCTCTCCTTCCGGCAGTTCCCCTCTCCGCCAGCAGGGGGAGCTTCTCTCCTTCCTCTCGAGAGAAAGAGAGAGAAAAGGGGGAGAGAGGGAGATGATTAAAGAGAAGAAAGGCAGCATGAGGAGGGAGGAGGGAGGAGGGAGGAAACGTCAGCACTCCATGCGTTAAAAGGGCAGATGGTAACGGCGGGGTAACTGAGGATCAGCTCAGAGGAAGAGGAGGAGGAAGAGGAGAGAGGACCGCGAGACGAAGAGCATCTGAGCGGAGGATATAACCAGGAGAGAGGGGGAGACACACACAGAGAGGAGACCACGAGGAAGAGGAGAAGTGAAGAAGAGGAGGAAAGAGGAGATCAATGAGAGGCTGAGATTTCAGGAGATTCAGCAGAAAGAGAGGAAGAGGAGCGACTGTGAGGAAGGACACATGGAAGACTTTAGGAGAGGAAGAGGAGGAGACGTATTCACAGAGTTCACTCAAACTTAGAGAGGAGGAAGAGGAGGAAGAGGAGGATATCTGAGAAACTCCTTTTATTTGAAGAGAGGAAGAGGAGGAGGAGGAAGAGCACTTCTCCCTGCTCTCTGACCCGATGGCTTGTTACTACATCGTGATCAGCTCCACTCACCTGCACGGCGGACAGCTGCGGAGCATCAAAGGAGTTTTCAGAGGACCAATCGGAGCCGGAGGAGCACACAAGGTAAGAAATCACAGAAACAGGCTTTTATTTTGAAAGGGCTCAGCTTGGTGCACTGTGGGGATGAAGTGTGGCTGTCATGGTTTTGAAACTCCAGAATTTTGGGGGTCATTTTATCTCCAGAAGTTGCTGAGTCAACAACAAAAAAAAGGCTTTTTTAAGTGCTTTTATTTTGTTAATGAATTCCACATTTATTACTTTTCATCGTGCTTTTATTGTGAAAGGTTATACATGTGCATTGGGATCGTCACGTCTTTAAACTGCAGTGTTTGTTGTGATTTTACATCCAGAAGTTTGCTGTGAGACAGAGAAAAAATAATTGTTTACATGCTTTTATTTTGAAAGGTGTCAGAAAGAGTTTAAAACACGACGAAGTGCTTTTATTTTGAAGGGGTTAAGAGTGGTGCACTGTGGGGATGAACTGTGGCTGTCATGGTTTGAGTTGTGTTTGTGGTTTCATGAGCAGAAGTTGCGGAGACAAAGAAAAACAAAGCTTTTATTTTGGAAATTAATTACAAATCCATTACTTTTCATCGTGCTTTTATTTTGAAAGGGTTACGAGTGTGCACTGTAACTGTCATGGTTTGAGTTGTGTTTGTGCTTGCAGTGTTGTTGTTGTGAGACAGAGGGAAATAATGTTTACGTGCTTTTATTTTGAAAGATGTCAGAAAGAGTTTAAAACATGATGAAGTGCTTTTATTTTGAAAGGGCTAAGCGTGGTGCACTGTGGGGATGAACTGTGGCTGTCATGTCTTTGAAACTCCTGGATTTTTGGGGTAATTTTATCTCCAGAAGTGCTTTTTGGAGTGCTTTTCTTTTGGAAATCAAATACACATTTATTACTTTACACAGTGCTTTTATTGTGAAAGGTTATACATGTCCACTGTGACCGTCACGTCTTTAAACTCCAGGGTTTGTTGTGGTAATTGAATCTCAAGAGTTTGCTGTGAGACAGAGGGAACTAATGTTTACATGCTTTTATTTTGAAAGGTGTCAGACAGAGACTAGAGTTAAAACCACGTTGAGGTGCTTTTATTTTTGAAGGGTTTAAGCATAGCAATTATGGGGATGAACTGTGGCTGTCATGGTTTGGATTTTGTTTGTGGTTTCATGTGCAGAAGTTTCTGTGAGACAAAACAAAAAAAGCTTTTATTTTGGAAATTAAGCACACCTTTATTACCCTTCGCAGTGCTTTTATTTTGAAAGGTTTTAAGCGTGTACATTATGGGTCTACTCTCTGATTATAATGTCGTTCATCTCCAAGATTTATGTTGAAATGTCACCTCCAGAAGTTGCTGTGAGACAGAAAAAAATAAACAGTTTACATGCTTTTATTTTGGTAATTAATCACACATGTCACCTTTCACAGTGCTTTTATTTTTGAAAGGATTACTCATGTACATCGTGGGTCTAAAGTCTGACCGTCACGTCTTTAAACTCCAGGATTGCTTGTGTTTGCTGTGAGACAGAGGAAAAGCATATCTCCGTGCTTTTATTTTGAAAGCCCTGCAGATCTTTGACAGTGTGCATTACAGCAGAGAGTCATCCGCTCCTTCATCTGGGTTTGCTCTCTTAATTAATTGCCACTTCCATTAGGTTAATTGACTTTGTGTTGGAGGAAAGGGGGAGGAAAGGGGGAGGAAAAGGAGGGAAAGGGGGAGGGAAATCTGACTAAGAGCTTCCCTTCAGCTCCAGGTCTGTGTTTCTAACCTTTAAAGAGCTTTTTATTTCTCTTCAAATATACATTTATCCTCAGATTGACAGGAAACGCTCTCAGGTCGCTCAGCTGCTGGAAAACATCCCTGTGTTTAAAGAGCTGCAGAGAAACTGAATATATAAAGAAAACATGTTTTATTTTGCACGTCTTGACGCTAAAAAAGGGACACGGACATTTTATTGTATTGCACATTTTAGTTGGTAAATTAGAACTTGATTTACATTCTTGTTCGTCAGCAACATTTATTTTTAAATATGCTGAAATACTAAATAAAAAGCACGATGTTTTGATGGGAGGCTGTGGCTCAGTGGGTAGTGCGCTGGACTTCAAATCAGGGGGTAGCAAGTTCGAGTCCCACTGCAGTCAGCATGTCGTTGTGTCCCTGAGACACTTCACCCCAAGTTGCTCCTGTGGGGGTTGTCCTCAGTACTGAATGTATGTTAGTCACTTTGGATAAAAGCGTCTAACAAATGGCATGTGGTAATAATAATAATAATTGACTGACGCCACAGATTTACGAGCATTACATTTAAAGTTCATCTACAATTCTACAAATATAATGATCTGCTTTAAAACCTCAAGAAATACAACTATTATATATTTCTTGTACAAATACAACTATTATATATTTCTTGTACAAATACAACTATTATATATTTCTTTGTCTTAAAGAACCTACCTGATGTAATTGAAAGCAGAGCAGAGAGATGTATTCATATTTATTACATGGCTTATTTGAATACTCGATTCTGATTGGTCAATTCAGAACACGTGACACGTTGTTAACCCAGTAGTACAGACCGCTGTCAAGCACTTATTGACTGTTGTTAAGGACGCTCACATCTGCACAAAGAAGTCCGGTCGATTGATCTGTATACAGTTTGGAACTGGGCCAAGGAAACAGCGGAGAAGTAACGGGGCAGGAACCCTCCTTTTCACGCAGCGGTCCAGACACAGACATCAGACGGCGACACATATTCAGTGTGCAGTTCCTTTGGCATCAGGGCAGGGGTATCTAGATCCTTCCCAAGGTCTGACATCATGAAGTGTGCTACTTTTAAAGCAAGCAACGATGTTTTCAAATCTGTAATCAAAAAGCTCCTCAAAAACGCTATCGAAGCACTTCCTGTCGTTGCTACGTAGATCAAACGGTAACAACGGACTATTTTTCTTAGCGGATGCCAGTAGCGTGGCGTGGGGAAAAATTTAGGGGAAGCCCATTTTTTTGGGTTGGGGGGGGGGGGGTGGTCAATAACGTAACCAGATGAGTGATTACAGCGCCCGGTATCATTTTACACACATTTGTATCACACAGATGCAGGACTTGCACACGCCTGTTATCTAACCGACAGGTCCGCACGCACTCTCCAGCCGAAACAGCACAATCTATGTGATTTTTGGATTTACCGTGCCTCTCAATTGCCCGTGACAGGTTGGCAAGGTCGATGAATCCTGAAGTTGCCCAAGGATTGTTCAGGGAGCACGAATCCTTGTCAAAAAGAAGACATGGCCAGCAAATTAGACGCTGAAGTGTAGCGCTTCCAGTTAGCCACTCCGTGCGGACATAATTGTCCTCATTGAACGTCCGATTCGCTCCCTTTTTCCTCTGTGTACACAGCTCGAGTGTGGGCATTGGCCTGTCATCTGATTTAATTTTTAGTTGCTGCTGTAGCGGAAGTTTAGTAAAGTTATGTTTGATTAAGTACGCCAAATCTCCACCCTCCATAATGCTTCATTTGCTTGATCATTTCAAACGGCGGTGATGACAGTTACAGTAGGCTACTACAGTACGTAGTAAAACTGATGTTGATGTGATTTGATTGGATGGCAGTGTCCAATCAAATCGCCAGCCGCCAGCCGCCTCTGAAGGGAAGCCAGAGGCGGCTGGCTTCCCTTGGCATGGCCCTGACCAATCACAGGTTGGCAGGGGCATCACATGGGCCTCATCTGATTGGTCAATCCCTCACTTTGTTTTCACCAAGGGAAGCCCGATCCGACTGGCCTCCTCTCGCAACAGTGAATGCAATCTACTGTTTCACCAGAACATCTAGAGGGGCGCTGTTTGTTTCACTCTTTGTAAAATACTCAATGAGAGTGGGGGAGAGACGGGCCGGCAGCAACACACAGCAAAGGAGAATTATCGAAACAAAACAAAGTGTTTTTATTTATTTATTTAAATTATAACTACAATCCGAAAAAACAGGGGAAGCCTGGCTTCCCTTGGCCTCCGGGAGAAAACGCCACTGGCGGATGCATGTCCTTTTAAATCAATAATAGACTACTATTTTTTAAATCAATAAAAACATTTCAATTAATATTGGGAGTCATGTCGTTACTTTGTTGAGAATGTGGCCGTGTGATGAGCGGGACAATGTGCAGCGAGGCGCTCCTGGTCCGCCTGTCGGGTGCTCTGTTACCCAGAATGACCGCCTCGCTGCACGTTAACCCTTTCTCACATTATATCTTCATACACGAGAACAAACTCCTCTTTAGGTTTTTAAAGTAGAAGTACTCAGATCTTGTACTTGAGTAAAAGTAGAAGTACTCAGATCTTCTACTTGAGTAAAAGTAGAAGTACTCAGATCTTGGACTTTAGTCAAAGTAGAAGTACTCAGATCTTCTACTTGAGTAAAAGTAGAAGTACTCAGATCTTGTACTTGAGTAAAAGTAGAAGTACTCAGATCTTGTACTTGAGTAAAAGTAGAAGTACTCAGATCTTGTACTTGAGTAAAAGTAGAAGTACTCAGATCTTGTACTTGAGTAAAAGTAGAAGTACTCAGATCTTGTACTTGAGTAAAAGTAGAAGTACTCAGATCTTGTACTTGTGTAAAAGTAGAAGTACTCAGATCTTGTACTTGTGTAAAAGTAGAAGTACTCAGATCTTGTACTTGAGTAAAAGTAGAAGTACTCAGATCTTGTACTTGAGTAAAAGTAGAAGTACTCAGATCTTGTACTTGTGTAAAAGTAGAAGTACTCAGATCTTGTACTTGAGTAAAAGTAGAAGTACTCAGATATTGTACTTGAGTAAAATAAGTACCAGAGTGTAGGAATACTTTGTTACAGTAAAAGTCCTGCATTCAAAATGTTACTTAAATAAATACATGTAGTGGAGTAGAAGTACACAGTAGCATCACATGGAAATACTCAAGTGAAGTACAAGTACCTCTAAATTGTACTTAAGTAGTGAGTAAATGTCCTCGGTTCCTCCCTCTCGGTGCATGGTGATGTTCCTTCAGATGCTGCTCTTCAGACTCTGAATGTGAACATGAGTCATTCTAAACTCCAGA